AGTCCATTTTTTCCTTCCAGGAGGAGTTCAGTGTTGTACTTGGCTTTCTAAGTCTTGAAAGAGTAAGCAGAGTGCTTAAGAATTACCTACTAAAGCTTTTGTGAATGTCATTTAACAGTATATTCCTTTCTGTTCATGAAAGGCTGGTTCTCTGATTCCTTTGCTTGAAGGGAATGAATCATGCTTCTTTGGTATTATCAAAACTTTGTGTTTTTTGCTTTACTTTTAATCATGTTGTTCCTAAGCTGTATTTTTCTGAATTTATTACAAATTTGATTTTCAAAATTGGATCAAAATAATAGCATAAATAAAAATGTAATAAATTAGGATACATAAATGCATCCTTCAGAACTGGTGATAGAGTGCTGTCAGATCTGATATAGCTTTGTGATACTGGAAGTTCAGTGCAGGAAACAGTAACAATCTTCTGACATAAAATGGACATTTTTAGCAAAGCCTTGCTTTGTAAAATAAAGCCTGGACAGCTTTGAGTCTCAGCAATAATAATGGAGCAGCTGTTGCAGCGCAAGTGATGCACTAAACTAATGTGTTGTAAGATTTAATTTTTGTCTTAAATCACCATGGATGGTATAGCTGAAGTTACCACTGGGATATGTATTGGTAGACTGGTTGGAGCACACCCAAAATTACTCCTGTTGAAACCTCTGAAGCTGAAAGGGGATTAAAATTCTCCTCAGAGGAAGTCTTTGTTCTTCAGTCAGAAGTTGCACTGCTGGTTCCCATAAACCAGGGCTTCTTATATTAGAACTAAAATACACATGGGTGTTTGTTGTGCTGTGAAATAGAATTTGTATACTTGTATTATACTTTCTTTTAATTTCATTGCAAAAATCTGTAGTTTTCAAGAAATCGTGGTGATTTATGTATGATACCTTACGTGGAGCTTTGGAAAGTACAGGCTATCAAAATGCAAAATTATCTGGAATAGACTATTGTAAAGGAAAACAAGTCAATACTTTTTCTTCTAACAATGCAGAAGGAACAAAAAATTCAATTCTACAAACAAGCTGAAGTCCTTAGTAAAATGCCTTATTTAAATGAGTTTTATATTTAGAAACTAGTCTGGCTGCTTTGTTCTTTGTCTTTAGGTTAAGAATTCACTTTAATAAGTGAGTAAGACAAACTTAAGTACAAACACTTGAGTTTGGCAATGGTGAGGTCAAAACATTTAAGTCCTTAAGTAAATGGAACAGAGGCAAAAAAAAATTACACAAGTGAAGAGAAAAAATCCATCAGCTCAACTTAATTTTACAAAATGCAGCTGAATTCCTTCATGTTAATTTTTAATGATACTTCAGAAAGGAGGGTAGCACTTCAGTGAGGGGTCTGACAAGCTAGTAATTTGCAAATAAATCAAAAGACAATCATTACAGCAGCAAGAACCAGTGAATGATGTAGTTTTGTTATTCTTTGATGGGCCTCACACTCAAGTTCTCTATTAAAAATGAATGTATTCAAGAGGCTCTGCATTAAGAACACAAACAATTAAGGGCACTTCAGATGCTTTGCTAAGAGCTGCCATAGAGCTCAGAGGACTTTCATGAGAGATGCAGGCTTCTGTAGCCTGCTTTACCAAGGAGCCATAGAACATGGGCAATTAGTCATGTTTGTCTATGTTTGAGCAGCTTTCTGCAAAGTTTCCTTTGTTTATTCATCCTTAGGATCTCTCTGTATGTCTCAAGATTAGCAGTTAGGTAATAGTTATGTTATATTCCAAGGCCTCTAGAAACAGGAGATAAGTACCTTTATTTTAAGACTTTCAAATTCATGAGCCCCAGATCTGGGGGCTTACTCTAATGATACCAGTTAGTGATGTCTAGTCTTGATTAACGAAACTGTCCTTGACTCTTTCAGAAAGGGGTTTTGCTTTCCAGAATGAATGTGTGTACACTCACAGGCACGTGCACATGCATGCTCAAGGGTATTTCATCTTAAAAAGCAAATGTACTTCGTCTATTGAACTGTTGCATTTACATTAAAAGTAACAAATGTCTCTTTTTCTCGATTCTGAAAACAACCTCTTGCAACTCTTGGTCAGCAAAATAGTAATGCACACAAATCGTGCATTAAAACCTAACTTTCAGAACTTTTGATAGACAACAAATACTTTTTTTTGTGTTTGTGAATGAAAATATTTTTTACTTGGTATTAGAGGGCAGCAAACAGGAGGTGCATGAAATTGCATATTAGATAAATAGTTTTAAGCACTTTAAACATGTTTGTGAAAACTCTCTTAAACAAACTGCTTTTTACATGCAAGCAGACTTTTTTATGGTTAATAGAATAGGCATTCCAGGTTTCAATGCAGATGTCTCTTAACAGGCACTTGTAACAGCAGCAAGAAATATCAAAATAAACTTATTTTATGGCATGTACATTTAAGTTTATCTAGCACTGTAGTTGAATTAAGGTTGCTGTTCATATATGCTTAGCAGTGATGCCCAGTTTAAAGACAAACTAAGAAGAATACACATTTTTTTTTTCTGTTCTGATGCTAAATCAGGTGTGATAGTACTGACAGAATAATTTTAACAGAAGATTAGTGTGGGAAGGGGGTAAGTTGATTATGCCCTCATTTTTAGAAAATAAAGAAAATATCTAACTGGCCTTCATTGGAAGGCAGTTATAACCTGATTAACATGATACTGCATTCTTTTGTCTCACTGTTTTATGTTACGTATGCTATGTCATTATAGTGTAGCTCAGATATTTGAGACAGAAAAATCCAATAATATGGACAAGTTGCATGTTTTACAGACTCCACTGAAAATAGGATTGCATTTTGTTTCCTAATAGCAACAATAAAGACATTTACCTCAGAATAGGGAGACTTGTGTAGATAATTCAGGCCAAAGAACTTTTCAGTAGACACCAAGTGAGTTTCTTATTTTATTCTTTCTCTATCCCCTCTTGTCACCTGCTATGATTTATACTTGTTCCTGCCTGAAAAACAAAGTTAATCCCATTGGTCTGGGGCAATTAAGTCCTTGGATCCTAAACATCTTAGCTAAACATCAGCCAAACAGATTGCTATGCAACAGACTAACTTTCCACAGCTGATGTACCCTGCTTTCTGGAGAGATATATTAAGCATGTGGAAAAATTCACATTAGTACATGTGGTTTTGTTGGTTTTTTTTTTCCTGTAACCGGGAAATACCAACAGATTTGGTTAACAGTTAGGTCTGATAACCAGTAATAGTTCAGCTGGTAACTTCCAAGTATTGACTTTGCTCTTATGTATGTAGTACTAGTACTAAAGGCTAAACATGGGACTATAGATAGTTTTATGACTGTGGCCCAGACAGAATGGAAAAGACCACTGTGGTACTCTGTGAAATAATAGCTGTTTCAGTTGAGAATAATGTTCACCTTGTTGCAGGGAGTAAAGATTTCCTGTAAAGCAACGGTCACTTCCTTGCCCTTAGTTAAGGAAAACCTTCTAATCCTAGGACAAAACCATCCCAGAACTTCTTTGGAAGCTTCTGCAAAACTTTATAGAGTAGGTGTGTCAAATACCAGGCTTTGGTCAGGTGGACTGCTTCATGTCAAGAGAGTTTGAGGTGTTTTACAGGTCTAGATGCTGTCATGTATTTTCCCTGTGTCTGTCAGAGGTTGGGAAGGAGATGTTAAAGCTTGATAATTATACTTAGATCCCAAATCACCTGTCTCCTGAGACATAAAGCTAGAGGGTGGATTTTGTATCCCAGTTATTATGTGACTGATGTATAAAGATCAACATATCAAAGTGTCTTCTTAAAAAACCTCAGAATTACAAGAAGGTTCAGAAAAAAAGGCTTGGAAGAGAGTAACAGTTGTAGTCTGACTTAAGTGAATTTATCGTTGTTCAGCTTTAATACATGTTATTTCATAGAAGGCCTAATGATTCACAGTAATGACTGCTTGTTTCTTCTGTCTAGAAACATAAAAAAACCCCCAGCTAACCAAGAAATATCTTCATGGGTTACGACAGATACTGACATGAGCTGTTCAGTGCCTTTTACATAAGCTGTGCTCTTGTCTGGTTGCTGATTTTGGTTTTGTGCAACTGTGCTACAGTGACTGAAATAGCTGTTTTTAAGGAAGACTGAGGGAATTGTATAGGTACCTTGAGAGTTAATTATAATAGTGGTTCTGAATTATGAGCAGATGTATAGATCTGAAAGGCTGTAAACACAGATAACACTGAGTAATGAGAAAAAAAGATCCCTTTACCCCACCAGGAATTCAGTGTTTAGGTTGACATGCCAAAATGGGATATACAGAAGTACAAGATATATAAAGCTGTTGAAAACTGGGACTCAAACTTTGTACTGCTGTAATCTCTGTTAATTTCACTGAAGGATTGTTCTGTTCTTTACTGGTTCCTAACCTTGTTCTCCTGCTGGTCATGGTTTCACAGATTTGCTGTTACACATTTTCTGATTGGTTTTTTTGCCATGTTTGCATTATTTTAATTATCTTTCAGTATGTATTTTAGAAGTCTGTACTTTTTGTCTCCATTCTTCTTCACTTCTGTTTTAGTATTTCACTTGTATTCATGATGGTGCATTTGTCATTTTACCTTCTGCTAGGCAGATAAAATTGATCATGAAAGAAGCATTTTTCTTCTGAGCCAGTTGCCTTCATGTTATGCTGCTTGATAATTTGAGTAATAATAAATCTACCTTTTAAAAGGCTTTATCTTTGAGTTAATGGATTTCAAAAATGCTCTGCTTATTAATGTACTATATACAAGGACCAGATTTGTGCCTAAATGTGTATACAGATTAGGTGCTTTAGACATGGCAGATGTCCTAACAAAATCTCTTTCTTTGTCTGGGCTTATATACTAAGTATTTATATTTGCAGTACTATGGAAAATGGGTAATTTTTTTGTTACTTTCTTCACTGTCTGAACTTAATATAATCCTATATACTAGTTAATATATGTCAAACTTTCTAAAATGCAGTTTTTATTAAAATTCTTTTCCTCTGTAGACAGAAATCGCGAAGAGATTGAATACAATTTGTGCACAAGTCATCCCATTTTTGTCTCAGGAAGTAAGTAAAACTGTTCAGCTGTTAAAGTGCAATTATGTTGTTTTTCTGTTTGCAAATTAGCTAGTTTTACGATGTTAATTTTATCACAATACACAAGTGTAAGGAACATCTGTTACAGCTGAAGTGTGCAAACCCCCTGCTAATTTGATCTAACAAATCTGAGTTCAAACTAGTGACAATGGCTCAGCCTCATTCATTTCCTGAGGAGAGTGCGAGTCTGTAAAATAGTAGCAATACAAGAAAATGCTTTCATTTCTGATCATTTCTGTTTGTTTATTAGATATTCATTGTCAAGTGTAGATCTAATGAAATAAGCATGGTTATGTTCTCTACATAGTTTATATCAAAGGTGCATGTTTAGCTCATTTGCAGAACACTATTTAAGTTTGTAAACCTACATTTGGTCTGAATGACTATGATTTTAGCATGTTGTGGGCAGCTGCTGTTACATTTTGAAACTTGTTATTTTGTAACTCTTATGGTCTTACAAAGAGTATTTGCAATTTTTGATTTCAGTGGTCAATTTTCCCTGTTTGAAATTTCAGTTTGTTTTGCTATGTGGGCACAGAGTCTATAAGTGTTAAAACTGAAATTGAGGTAAAGTTGACCTTATTATCCTGTCAGCTCAATTAAAAATGATTATTCATTTGCCAGAAAACTAATAATGAAGGGATGTAGGGTAAGAGATAAGCTGGCAGCCTTCAGGTCTCTTCTTTCCTTTTGAACAGGGGGAAAAATAGGGCATTGTTATCTTTTATCTGCATGAGATGTCTTGCAATAGGTAGTGTGAGCTTCTGCAGACAAACTGGTTTTTCAAGTATTTGTGATCCTAGTTTGATATGGTGTAGTAATACCTTAATTCAAATTCCTCCTTATACCCTTTCTTCTTTCAACAGCATCAGCAACAAGTGGCCCAAGCTGTAGAACGTGCCAAACAAGTGACCATGGCTGAATTGAATGCCATCATCGGGGTACGTGGCCTTCCAGGTCTACCTCCTACAGTGTGTATAACTTGCTTTCATATCTTACTGCTTTGCAATTTTTAAGATAAACTGAAATGTTTTGATATGTAACACTGTTTTGATGCCTAGCATTGCTGAAGTGTTTTTGCTTCACACAGATTTTAGCAAAGATAAAGATAATAGTTTACTTTGTCAGAACATGATTTTGTCCAGCAGTGCTGCATGTAACAAAACTTTTTCTGCAAGAAATAGTTTTAGGAGAGTTGCTTGTTTATTTATCGGTATTGTAAGTCAGTTGAGCTAGATACTTTTTCCTCATGCTTTTTGTGACACTTGAGTTCTTGGAGCTTATACAACTATTCATTCTTCTTTCTTTCCCTTTCTTGTGAATCTTTCATGAATTTTAAATTAGCAAGCTACTGAATAGAAACTTCACTTGCTTTTGAAGTAGTATTAATTGTCTGACACAGTGTTCTAATAGCCTTTCACCAAGAATGTGCTTTTAAATATGCTAAAAAAGTTAATACTACTTGCTTGTGACTGGTTGTCAATCACAAGTCATTTGCTTTGTATTAATGAACTTTTTGAACCACACATTCCTTCCACTGTATGAGTTCATTTCCCCTGCCACTAAGTCTGGAATATTTCTCATGTTTTCTGCCCCTCCAACTAAGTGAAAGAAGTAGCCGAAACAAGAACCTGTCCTTTCTTATTTTATTCATATGTGAGCGCCTTGAGCAGATTCAAATTACTCATTTATCAATTTATGTTAATTGCTTGTGAGAAGATGCCCTGCTGGTCTTTATAGTTCCCTCAGACACTTTGTAATGATAATTAGACATGCTGCTGTACGGATTAACAGTGCCATAGTCCAATGACGTCTACAGACAATGGAACCAGTTAATCCATCTGTGCTTAAAATTACATCCCAACTGGAGATGGGAAAAAAAAATAGGAGTGAGGGAGGATTAAAAGAATGAGCCTCAGCTTGAAAATGCTCCTTTCATCAGTTTCTCAATTGCAGATCTGCAGTCGGTTTGCCTGTGGTAAGCTATTGGCAGTCAATTAGGTGAAATAAACTGGGAGGGTGACCTTCATTTCCTTTTAATAGCTTTTCCTCCCTGAAATGGGGAGCTTCAGTGGATTTTCAGCTTAAATTTTATTCAAGCTGCTTTATTACACTTGACAGATTAGCTTTGCATAAACATACCCCCCCTTCAAATCTGTGCTGTTTTTCCTTCGTATCAAATTTTGACTGTTACTTAGTTGATTTGCTAATCACATCTTAGAAACCCACACAATTACATCTGTATTTGTCAGAATCTCCTCTATGCTTTGCTTGTGTAATGAATTAGTTTATGAATACCTGATTTGATCTTTGAAATACACCACTACATGTACATTTGTGGTATTTGATTAGCAAAGATTAGAGAACCGTACTTTCTTGCATTTTTTAAAACAAATGGCTTCTTACGGAATGAAAATGGAATGGAAAACTCTTCGTTATGAACTAGTTTTAAAGAAGTGTTTATGCAGTAAAAGGAAACATACTAAAATATATTTTAAAAGATTCTTTCTCATCTTAAAATAGTGCTACTTAGGCAAACCAAATTTTGCTATCTCAAGCATGTCATCTGCTTCTTTTTGAAGTCCACACAATACAGTCTTAAAAGCCATAGGATCTGCAAGTGCCACATGCAATTAAGAACTTTAGGGTTTTTGGGGGAGCAGGGAGGGAAAGCTCTTTGGAAGCAGGAATTGTAGGCTCTACAGTTTTTGTTTTGTTATTATTGAAGATTTAGCTGAAGATATACTTTCCTATGTCTCATGAAAAACTTCTGAATGAAGCCATACAAATCCAAAACTGTGAGTGAGGAAATTAACATGCTGGGCACAACATTTGTTTGACCATGTAGATGCATGCATTTACATAATGCCAAAATTAGAGGTATGTCCCAGTGATCTTTTACAGTCTTATTAATCAATAGTTACCTTGTGCCGCACAATAGGTTTCATGCTCTGACATATGCTTGGTTTTGTTTGAAAGGGACGGTGTATGCCCTGGAAAATCTGAATAGCATAAAATCAGGCTGACAATTCAGTGGACCTTTGCTCCCCCTCACTGAGCACTCAGGGTGTCAAGCCCTTTTCCCAGAGGGGAGGACACATCAGAAGCCTGTCTGTTCCTACAAGCGGCAGCTGCACCGAGGGTGAGCACGGCACAGTTTGATAGCAGCTGTCAGTATTGTTCAGGGGCCCGACTTAGTGTAAAGAACAATGGAAGGGCCATGCTGCTAAAGTGCAGTGTCTTTCAAGATAAGAAAAGATATAGTAATTTAACGGTTTAGATACCTATTATGGGCATGAAAGATCATCAGACTTCTTTTCAGGGTGCAGATAGGCTGGACCAATCTGTAACAGTAGAAGATGTGATTGAGGCACTTCTGGTGTCCCTCTACCAAAAATACATGCATATGGTAATTCTTGAGGATAGGAGGGAAATTTCATTTTGCTAGCTGGCACTAGCTTGCCTGGTTTCTCTTGACTAAAAAAAATTCTGCATTTCTGCCAGGATTTGCCTTTTTTCCCCCTCTTCCTTTCTGTCCTTAAGGACCATTGTTTCATGACACCAGATGATTCAAGAGTTTCCCACTTGGCTTCCTTCATTAGACAAATTCCTGTTACTCCTATACAATGTATGAATTGTGGAAGGAGAAAAAAAGGCTTTTTAATTACTGGGAATAATGTTTTGAAATACAAAATTATTTTGAACTATATTTATTTTATACTTTTTATTTCCAGTTGAAAAGAGAGAAGCCTATTAGAGGACAGACTATGAGGATAGAGACTTACAGTCTCACAGGACTGGCATTTTTCAGAGAATTTGCCTACAAAATCAAAAGCTGGGCTTGGGAATAGGTGTATATTAAGCACATACAAAACAGAATGAATAAATTGACACATTTTTTCAAGAAAGTAATATAGTTGGACTCAGTGAGCTTGCAAGCAGTGCTAATCCTCTGTGTTGATTAAAAATTCTTACTTCAGGAAAAACCTTGAATGATGTTTGGTTATTAACAGTCATACTTCTGGCCTTGCACTTATCCTACGTGGTCTTGAAGGCTTTTGCTTTCAGCCATGGGGTAACAGTGTGGCTTAACCATCTCCTTTCAATTTTTTTTAAATAGCACCATTTAATATTTATTATATTAGAGTAGAATGAAGTAGCAATTTTGCTAGATAAATAATGAACAAAGCAGAAACCCTAACTAAAAGGATAAGTGCCCCCATTAACTACTTGGCATTGCTGCAGCTGCAGGCAGTGTCCACTTCTGTGGTTAAGGAAAAATCTAGATCATGGTATGAAGGAATATTATGGTTTAACTTGAATGGTTGTTTTGGCTTCTTTGTGGGTGGTCTGGGTTTTTTTGTGCTTTGTTTCATTGTTTGCTTGGGTTTTTTTTGTAGGGTTGTTTTCTTGAGATATGTAGAAAATAGCAAGCTCATGTTAGGGAGTTTTAAGTGGCAGTTAAATTGGTATGTCTAGGTGTGAACAATGCAAGATTAGATTTACTTTCTAATCAATTAACTAGTATGAGTAGAATATGGAAATATGCAAATGAGAAATGCAAGCAGGAAACTTCAGCACTGCATTTTTGATGCATGATTTCAGCATACCACTGAGAAGCCAGGTATGTCTTATTTTTCCTGTTGAGATGGGTTGCTAATGATTTTGTGAAATATGTATCTTTTGGACTGACAGTGCTCCTGAGACAGATTGAGTTGTTGGCCTCCGAGAGGCCTCTCCACTGTTGCATGAGGTGATTGGCTAAAGGATTAGCAAGATGTGGGATTATTTTTTCTCTCTTGGCTGTGGTTGCCAGCTATCTCTGGGATTGTAGTGTGTGAAGCTTAAGAGGATGAGGTTAACCTCTTGAGGGTTTATTCTTATGAGTGTGTAGTTAATCCTTAGAAAGCCTATAAATAACTAGGCTGTATGTTTCATTATAAAATAGAAATACAGACTAGAACAGAAATGAATGCAGAATTTAGTGGAAGGGAAGAGCTAAGCAGCTGTAGCATTACTTTAGATCCTTCTCAGCCATGATCTGCATTATGTGCTGAGGGAGGGGAAATTGCCTAGTTCTTTTAAATTAAATAAAATTAGATCTGGTGAGCACAAGACACTCTCCTCACTTTTAACTCCATAACCCCAAGTCTAAATCAATGAACTCTGGCAATGGGAACTCTATAGTGTAGCAACATCCTGGGTTTTATTCTTCATGTTTTAGAACACATAGAAACCTTAGTTTTATCTTAGGATTCATGGTAGTTACTTTTAGAATACAAAGGCTCCTGACGTAGTTTACCAGTTTATAGTGTACAGCAACAGAGGAAGGTATTTGTCAGCATGATAGGCAGTATTCTAAAAATACCAGCCCTCAATGGTCAGATTTTTACTCTTAGTGCCACTAAGCTTGGAGGAAAAATATGGAAGTGGTATTGATGTGTATTGGTAGCTTGACCTACTCAAAAGAGAAAATGTGGGAGAAGGTGTGTAAAATTTGAAAGAATGGGATTAACCAAACTTTTTGTCTTGACTCCCCACCCCCACACACCCAGTCTCTGTGGCCTGATGGGAAATGAAGAATATTGGAGCAGCAATGTAGAGGAAGGTAGTATCTAAACAAGACAATTTTCTGCAGAAGAAGGTATTCTCAGTCATTTTGGAGAGGGCAAAATTGCATCCAAAAGTCAAATGGAATTGAATTGCTGGACAGACCTCCCTTGTCTTGCAAGGCTTCATGTGGGGTGGATGGAAAAAGCTTCACCTTGGATCTTGCCCTAAAAGAAAAGCAAAAGAGCTTCAGGTGTCTCTCATCAAAATCTAGTATCTAAACTACAAGTTGAAGGTGGACCAAGTGTACAGTTACAAATTTGTGAAGCCCAAGAGCTTTCAGGAAAGGAGTAACAGTATGAACAGAAATATTGTTAGCTAATGCTAAAACCTGAAGATATGTGACTGCAACTGTGAATGC